TGCTATTTATCTTTATATTCTTTTTGTTGTTTCTCTCTCTCTCTGTCTCTCTGTCTCTCTGTCTCTCTGCCTCTCTCCCTCTCTCTCTCTCTCTGGCTTTATCAGCGCTGCTTCTCATACAATTGTCCTGTTGTATTTGCACGATTCCTCAGTCCCTATTGCTATCTTGGGTCCTCGCGCGGCGATGTTTTTCGGTCCCAGATCGGTCGTCGCTAATCTTCTCCTCGTGCCACTGATTACGTGGCGCTGAGCAACATCCAATCCAAATCTCGAAAAGAGCGTGCTCGGCCGCTGCTGGCAGAAAACTGGGGGGGGTCACTGGGGGTTTCCAACCCGTCCCCCCCCCACTCGAAAACCGGGGGGGGGGGGGTCACTGGGGGTTCCAACCCCCCCCCTTCCTCTCCGGGTCCATCATGAAAAGGGTGGGGGTCACTACCTGTTTGAACCTTCCCCCCCTCATCGCCGCCGGCAGTGGGGACAGTGGGACAGTGGTGGGGACAGTGGGGGCAGTGGGGAGAGTAGGACCGTGGTGGGGACCGTGGTGGGGACAGTGGTGGGGACAGTGGGGACAGTGCGACAGTGGTGCGGGTACTGGTGGGGACAGTGTGGACAGTGGTGGGAACAGTGGGGACAGTGGGACATTGGTTGGGACGGTGGTGGGGACAGTGTTGAGGGGACAGTGGGATAGTGGTGGGGACAGTGGGGACAGTGGGACAGTGGTGGGGACGGTGATGGTAGGGACAGTGGTGAGGGCGGTGGTGAGAACGGTGTTGGGACAATGGGACAGTGGTACAGTGGGGACAGTGGTGGGAACAGTTGGGACAGTGGGACAGGTGGTGGGAACAGTGGGATGGTAGGACAGCACAGTGGGGCAGCGGTGGGGACAATGGGGACAGTGGGACATTGGTGGGGACAGTGGGGGCAGTGCAGTGGGACTGTGATGGGGACAACGGGGACAGTGGGGAGAGTAGGACCGGGGTGGGGACAGCGGGGACAGTGGGGGCAGTGCGACAGTGGTGGGGGCACTGGTGGGGACAGCGGGGATAGTGGTGGGAACAGTGGGACAGTGGTGGGGACAGTGGGGACACTGATGGGGACAGTGGAGACAGGGGGACATTGGTGGGGACAGTGGGGGCAGTGGGACAGTGGTGGGGACGGTGGTGGTGGGGACAGTGGTGAGGGCGGTGGACGGTGGTGGGGATCCCGGAGTCGTTTGCCGGCTGCGAGTGGGAGGGGGGGGGCTCGAACTGGTAGTGACCCTCCCCACTTTTCTTGGGGGGGGGATTCGAACCGGTAGTGACCCCCCGGGTTTTCCGAAGAGGGGGTGGGGGGGGGAGGGTTGGGGGAGGGGGGGGTATCTTGCCGGGGTGAAGTGTGTGGGGCTCGAGCAGGGGGGGGGGGTCGGATCACGCTCTCTCAAATCTCGAAAGCTCCAGCAGCCCCCACACGCCCCCCCGCTTTCAACCCATTATTAAACATTTTGAGCCCACATCCCACATAGATCCTTCTCCTCCTCCATCCTCCCCCTCTTCCATTCCGCCCCCGCAACCCTCCTTTTCTTAATGTTTTGATTATCGAATATTCAGGGTTATAGCTACTTGCGCCGATCGAGTGTCCCTCTTTATCTGGCGTAGGAAAGTAGGATATCCACGAGCTTTCAGCATGAATGTTTCGTCGTCGACGCTGCAACATGCGCGGCAGGATTGGGGCGCCGCACGCATCGCGAACGAGCGAACGAAATCCCGCCCTCGCCTCGCGCCGCACATTTTGTCTTGAAAGTCGTGTTCCCGCCTGGGCGCGGCGCATGCTGCTCGCTCGCCCACTCGTCAGAAGCGTGGGCGGGTCCGAGAGAGCGACATGCCAACACCACCCCGGCGCCGCGCAGGACTCCTGCCAGCCGCGGTCCCGCTTCTGCCCGGCTCGTGCTGCTCCCTCGTCGGGTCGTCGAAATTGGGACCGGCGGTGGGTGGGCGGAGTGTCGATGCCGCCTCGGAGCCCAGCTGTGGCTCGCGCCCTGCCTCCTAGTCCTCCTCCTTCTCCTCCTCCTCCTCCCTCCTCCTTCTCCTCCCTCCTCCTCCTCCTCCTCCTCCTCCTCCTCCTCCTCCTCCTCCCCCTCCTCCTCCTCCTCCTCCTCCTTCTCCTCCTCCTCCTCCCTCCTCCTTCTCCTCCCTCCTCCTCCTCCTCCTCCTCCTCCTCCTCCTCCTCCTCCTCCCTCCTCCCTCCTCCTCCTCTCTGAGCTCGGGCTCTCCTCCTGGAGTTGGCGCCGCACCGCTTCGGGGTGTCGCACAGTCTGGCTCGTGCCAGGTGAGCGTTTTCTTATTCATTGTTTTGCCGATCGGCGCGGGCCCTCGCCCCCCCCCCTTCCCCCCCCATAGAGTAAGTAGATCTTGGCTGTTTTTTGGCGCCTGTTTCAGGCAGGTGGAGCCTCCCCCCATAGGACGCACTGTCGCAAACAGTCGCAGCAAGCAGGTGTCTGAAGCCAGACCCCCCCCTCTGGCATGAGCTGGTTTCGCCGGAGTTGGTTTCGCCGGCGCTGGTTTCGCCCCGCTGGTTTCGCCGACGGCTGGTTTCGCCACCGCTGCTTTCGCCGGCGCTGGTTTCGCCCCGCTGGTTTCGCAGGCGGCTTGTTTCGCCGGCGGCCGGTTTCGCTGGCGCTGGTTTCGCCAGCGCTGGTTTCGCCGACGCGAGCCCCAACGGGCGGGTCGGGTCGGGCGGGCGGACCCTAGCGGGCGGGTCGGGTCGGGTCGGGCGGGGCGGACCCTAACGGGTGGGTCGGGTCAGGCGGGCGGGACATCAAAGTGTGCGGCATGCTCGACCGAGCACGCGCGAGCCGTAACGGGCGGGTCGGGTCGGGCGGGCGGACCCTGGCGGGCGGGTCGGGTCGGGTCGGGCAGACCCTAACGGGCAGTTCGGGTCGGGCGGGCGGGACATTAAACTGTGGGGCGCGCTCGACCGAGCACGCGCGAACTCTAACGGGCGGGTCGGGTCTGGCGGGCGGACCCTAGCGGGTGCATCGGGTCGGGCAGTTTCGCCGACGGCAGCTGGTTTCGCCGACGGCAGCTGGCTTCGCCGACAGCAGTTGGTTTCGCCGACGGAGCTGGTTTCGCCGGGCGGCGAAACCAGCTGGGCGAAACCAGCCGTCGCCCTCCTTCCGACCCCCCTTCCGCCCAATGTCGAGACGCCGAATAAGAAAAAACGCTCACCAGGTCTTCGGAGCGCGGGGCCCCACGCGCGCGAACGCAGGTGGGAGCGCGCGCCGGTGCCAGCCTTCCGGGCCGGAATGGAGGAGCGAGGTCGGCTCGGGGAGGGCACCCTGCTGCTCTTTGGTTTTTTGTTGTTCGCTGTCCTTCTGCATCCTGGGGGGGTACCCTTGGGTGTTCTGTGTGCTTAGGCCGGCGGAGGGCCTCGTGTTCTTGAGGGATGTTATTTTGTCATAGGCTCGGTGGCGAGCGAGGGGGGGAAGTGAGAAGGAGAAGGCTTTCCCAGAAGGCGGCGGGATTTGTCAAAATCCCCCGCGCCTTCTGAGAAGAATTTGCTCTGTATTCGGGGAAGGCGTAGAACACGTCTCAGAAGGCCGGGGGGGCTTTCGAACCTTCTGAGCAGGCCTTTTTCTTCTTCTTCTTCTTCTTCTTCTCACTTCGGGTTGACCCAAACGTGGGTCCAGCGACAATGGAGTGGTGCAATAGATTTGGTGCAATAGATTCGTGGGGTTGCAATACATCTGGGGCGTGCAATATTTTCCAGGGCGCAAATGTATTGCTGGGCTTTCGCGCGCATCCAGTACAGTCCTCCGACGCAGTGCACCTGCAATGCAGCTGCCCGAGATCTATTGCACCACCCCCTTGCAGCTGGACCCCCTCCTGGGTCACCCAGATAGTCTCCCTCCCTCCCCCCCTCGCTCGCCGCCGACATCTGCACGAACGAAATGGGCACGGAAAGAATGGGCACAATGCCCAACAGCGGATCCGGTTCATGCTGAACAGGACTCGTTGTCCGCGCCGCCGCGGCCTGTGTCCATTCGAGACAGAGGGCTGGCTGCCCAACAGCGGCCGCTGTTGGTTTGGGACAACATTTGTTGTTGGGCATTGTGCCCATTCTTTCCGTGCCCATTTCGGGCGTCCAAGCGACAGGTCCGACCGCGAGGGGGGGGGGCGTGTGCGGGGCCCCGTGGCTCGCTCGAGCTGGCGCCGGGTGGTCGGCTGCGCCTCGTCCTCTGCGGGCCCGCAGGGCACGGGGGCCTCGCGTCGAGCAGCGGCGAAGCGTCCTGGCGTGCCCACAGGCCGACCAAGCAGTGTTCTGAGAACCCTTTTTTCGTGGTTTGCACGAACAGTTCTTGGAACATTTCTGGCCGGCGCGGTCTTGTCTTAACACGTCGGGTTTCACGTTCTCGAAACGTTGTGTTTGTTGTTGAAACATGTTTGGGGTTCTAAGAACATGTCGTGGTAGGCCTAAAGAAATACCGGGATGGTCGGTCCCTGCTCAATCGTGTGCCCTCGCAGATTTTATCTTTCGCGTCGATTCGCGTCGATTGGCGTCTTGGGAGTGAACGAGCCAGCGCCGAGTTAGCGCCGATGTAGCGTCGATGCGGCGTTGATGTAACGTCGATGTAGCGTCGATGTAGCGTCCATATAGCGTCGATGCAGCGTCGACCAGCCTCGATTCGCAAGAGCGGGCAAGTTGGTATGGGAGGCTCCAGTGAGTTGCCACCGAACTCCTCTCCCTATTTCGCTTCTTTGAAGCCCTCTGACTTGGCGTCGCTCGGACGTGTGCATTTTTCTCGGCGAGGACCATCGAGGATCGTTCTGGACCATCGAGCAGAAAAAAACAGCACATGCACGAAACAGACACATGCACGGGGAATGAACGTCCGAGCGATGGCAAGTGCTCCTCTCCTACAGGTCGAACCCTACAACACCTCCTCCAATCCCCCTCCTGGTGCGAGGGAGAGAGCGATAGAGAGAGAGAGAGAGAGATAGAGTGGCATTCCATCTTCGCGAAAGGAGTTCGCGGGCATCAACCTCGACTGGCCGATTCCCGATGATGAGCCCGTTATGAGCATATTCCTGAGGCTGCCGAGCGAAACGCTGAGCAGGAGAAGGAGGAGGAGGAAGAGGAGGAGGAGGAGGAGGAGGACTAAGGGGGGGGACGGGATGAGGCAAGAGAAGAGGAGGAGGCGGAGGATGAGGAGGGGGAGGACGAGGAGGAGGAGGAGGAGGAGGAGGAGGAGGAGGAAGAGCAGGAGGAGGAGGAGGAGGAGGAGGAGGAGGAAGAAGAGGAGGAGGAGGAGGAGGAGGAGGAGGAGGAGGGGGAGGAGGAGGAGGATGACGGAGGAAACGGAGGAGACGGAGTAGAGACGGAGGAGACCTCAGAGACGGAGGAGGAGGAGGAGGAAGAAGAAGAGCAGGAGGCGGGGGGCTGTAGCCATTTTGGCTCAAGGGGCCTGCTCCTGAACTTCCCAACCTCTCTCAAGGGCGGCCACAGAGGGCCAGGTTGGGCGCGCAGCCCCCTCCAGCACGACCCCAGCCGCGGGGTCCCCACTGGCTGTCCCTGTGCGATGGCGGGACAGTGGCGCTGGAACTCCAACACGTACAAGTGGGAGAAGAAGCAGCAGAAGCAACATAATCGGGAGCCTGTCGTCTACGATGCGTGTGGCCGCTGGAAGTGGGCAGACAGACTCAAGAAGGACCCGTTGTGTGTGTGTGTGGCCATATGCTTGGCCCAGATCCTGCTGCAGCTCCTGATATTTCACAACAGAAGTTCATTCTCGAGGACTTCATCAACATGCTCAACAGGGGCGACCTCGGAGTGCCAATGGTCAACCGCATCAAGGAGACCGTTACGGTACATTCCCCCGAGGGCCCGACACCCAAGTCCCTCAGCGATGCCTTTCAGCTACGACAGCAAGCAGTTGAACGGGCATCCAGACACAAAGATGCAGCAGATGAACGCGTTCTACATCTTCAAGAGCAGCTTGAGGATGCGAGCCAATCTCAGTCGACGGCAGCCTTGGCACTGGCGCAGGCCAAGGAGGCCGCGGCAGCGGCGGGACACGCTTACGCAGCCAGCGTGGGCAACCAGGGTCCAGCAGCCGCAGACGACGACATGTCCATGGCGGGCAGCGACGCGTCCAACATCAGCGACTTCGCCGACCTCGACGACGACGACTACGAGATCATGCGGAAGGTTGCCCAGGCGAAGCCCAAGCCCCAACGGCTCCTCGCCAGGGTGGAGGACCGCGCCAAGAAGAAGGCCCGCCGTGCGGCGGCGGCCGCCGCCGCCAAGCCCGCCGCCGCCGCGCCCGCCGCAGGGGCAGCGGGCCAGCCAGGGGCCGCCAGCGCGGCCGCGGCCTTCCCCCTCGCGGCCAACGGCGGCATGCAGTGGCAGCCCATCGCCCCAGATGTGGCCGCCCAGGCGCGAGCCGCCGCGGCCCAGGCGGAGAGCGCCCACAGCGGCGTCGCCGCCCAGGCAGGTCCAGGGCGAGGGTAAGCTCACAATATATCTTGCCAATATCACTACGTGGGGCGAGAAGGCCGACAGATTTTGTTTTGCCCAGAAGCTTCCATATGACTTTCTGATTTTGACTGAGGTTCATAGGTCAGCAGGGGACATGAGGCCGCTCAGAAAGAAGTTTCGGAAGCAATCATGGTCAACGTACGTATGTCCAGCCTCGCCTACCACGAGAGGGGGTGCACATGGGGGTGTACTCCTTGCCGCTCAAACTAGATATCGTACTCGCTCTAGATTCATGGGCGCCAAGGGCCACCAGAAGCCGATTGTCAATGGGACTCAATGGGCTAGCTGTGTTCTGAGGCTCCAGAAAGTAGATATCTTCCTCATCGGGGTTTACCTCTGGGACTCCATAGGGTACAAGGCCGCCAACAGGGATATTCTGTGGGAGTTTATTACCTTTGTGCGTGCCATGAGGATGCCCTACATTCTAGGAGGTGATTTCAACATGGGCCCGTCCTCCATAGAGGGGGCCAACATCTTATCGTACATGGGTGGCACCATCGTCGTGCCAGGCATTCCCTATCCCAACGCGGTGACCAAAACCATGATAGATTTCTTCATTGTAGAGGAGCGTTTGGCTACGAGCATCAAGGTCAAGGGGCACTTGGATGGCCTCTTTGGCCCGCACTACGAACTCATCTTGGACGTGCCGTGTGAGATCTTCACCAAACAGATTCGGGCCATTGAGAGACGTGCGCGAATGCCCCGGGCCCCGGGACCTGCTCGTCCGTGGGCCGAGTACTTCGGGAAGGCGTTTCACCAGGTCCAGGGAACCCAACATGCACAATATCCGACGTGTTTTGGTCACCATGATGATCAGCTTACCCAGGCATTCGCAGTTCTCTGTAGGACAGTGGAGCTCCAGCAGAGGGACATAGCAGTATCTGACATCGAGTGCCAAGCAGGGCTGGCGCCGCGCTTCGCTTGGAAGCCGCTCGCTCCAGCCCCCCGTGCCCAAGGAAGGAAGCGCCAAGTCGGCCGCCACCCAGTGGGCTACCCTAGGCATCCGCGCGCAGGAGCGGGACCACGCCAAGGCAGCTTACCAGCACTTTCAAAGGTTGCAGAAGTTTGTCGCGAACCTTGCAAGCAATATCCAGTGCCCAGATATGACTCCAGAGGATTATCGGGTTCTTGGATCTTATCTTGGGGGATACTCCGACAAGGATACACAGGCTAAGGGGTTTGAGATCATAGATAGGGCCCAGCACCAGTTCTACCTTTCGGAGCTCCAGGAGTCTAGGGAAGGATTTAGAGCGTTTGTCTTGCACTCCCTCAAGAGAGGAGGAGGGGCCGCCCACGCCATCACCAAGGCCAACAATGGAGCCCAACCTGAGCCCCTCGAGGACATTCAAGGGCCCGATGGGGAGATCATCACCGACCCCATACCTCGTCATGAACAAAAAGCTCGGATTTTGGATGAGCAAGTGGGACCCCCAGACCCAACACCACCCAGCCCCGTTTGAGCCTCGATGGGTCCGAAAGGTCCGAAGTCAGGCCATGGAGGGATGGGACTTAGACTACCACGACTGGGAGGTCAGCGACGTCTTTAACGTTGTCGCACTGCACAAGCCCTCGGCCGCGCCAGGAGGTGACGGGCGGTCAGTCCGAGACTTCCTTCTGTTGCAGGACGAGGGCCGCAAAGGTTTCACGGATCTGGTTAACCAAATATGCCGTCGGCAACAGCTTCGCCCGAAGGTCCTCCTCAACCTCATTTTTTCCAGCCGAAAAAACGCGGAGTGCGACAGGCCCTTGACATTGACGGCGGGGCTCTATCGGGTTATATCCAAGTTGTTCAGGACCGAGCTATCCTCATGGGACCAGGACTCTGCGGGTTTCTGGGGTCAGGCGCTCAAGGGGGACGACGCTCTCAGGGCCGCGGTGTTGTCAGAAATTGCTGCTGAAATCGCCGCGGCAGGGGGGCATTTCCATGGTGGAGTCCCTCCTCGACATCGAGAAGTTTTTTTGTTTCAGTTGGACTTGAGTGGATGATCCATTCTGCCTTACGTTTGAACTACCCTGCCCCTCCACTTGCGCTTGCACTCATGGTTCATCGGTGCGCGGGGGTGCTCACGTCGACCATTGGATGTTCAGACTTTGCAGTACCAGATAAGTCGATGCTTCAAGGCTGCGGGCAAAGCTGCTCGCTGGCGCGTGCGTTTTTGTATCATGTGTTGGACAGGTTCCACGGAGAGTTCATGCCTCTCAGTTTTCGCACATGGATTGGCGACCTTCGAGTGCGCATGTGGGCATCATCGGAGCATAGTTTACACCTCTTCCCTGCTGCCATAGTCTCCCCGGGCGGGGGCCTCGCGCGGCAAGGATGTAAGCTGTCTTCCAAGAGTTGCTTGATGTCGCCCAGTTCCTCTCTGGCAGCATGTGTGGCTCAGGCGCTGGAGGCCCAAGGAGTGCTCACCGCAGTTCAGCGACACGGGAGAGATCCTGGGGTCGATGCTACGTTAGGGCGACAACGTAGATTAAGAGTTCGTACAGCCAGACAAACTGATGGGTTTTCCCGACTTAACAAAATTCGGAAGCTCTCGAAGAAGATCAAAGGGGCCAGAAGTCTCGCTAGCACTGGAGCTAAACTTCAATTTGTCCGGGGCTTCCAAGGGCGCGGTATAGCCCCCACTGCCCTCGAGCTCCTCAGGGGGCGACTGGCTGCTGCTATGGGGCTCATCAGTAAATCGGGGTGCACTACTACCGCCTGCGCCCTTTCCCCGAAGGGCAGCTTGGTTACCGATCCAGGATATGATGTTCCCTTGGGATGCCTGGAGCTCTGGTTTTCCATATTGAACCAGGAGGAGCACCTACACATCGGGATTGAACAAACATGGCCCAGGACCCTCGCCCGACTCCAAGGACCAGGTAGATGGAACAAGGTATGCAGCCTCGTGTCGTCCGCCCTCGCCTACCTTTTGGACTTCCGCTGGGAGGTCGCAGATCCATGGAGGTGGATCAGCCCGTTTGGACAGCAGTATCTCGTCAAGCCAGGTGTCGAGGATGATCAGTCCTCAGTGCTCGCCGCCTTCTCTACCTGCGTCACCCGCAAGTACTGGGGGCAGGCCGCCGAGCTCTATTGTGGAGGAGGGGGAGAAGGAGGAGTTGACATCCATCAATTTCGACACCCTGCGGGAGGATGGAGGAAGAAATCAAATCATTTCGTTGCTGCTGCGTATTCTGTCGCCAAGGGGTGCATCTGGCATGGAGCTAGGATGTTCAAAGCTGGGATGAAGGCCCCCCGCCCCCCCCCCCCCCCCCGAGTGCCGGCGATGCGGAGCCCCAGTGGAAGACGCTTTTCATGCATATTGGAAATGCCCAGCCTTCATATCTCTTGCGTTAGAACGTGAAGAGATTCGGGAATCACAACACCTCCTCCCGAGGGCCAGGGCCGAAATAAATACATGTCCCATAAAGTGGTTTCGAGGGCTACAGCCGCAGGGCCAGACCGTAGGCTCCCTCACTTCCAGACCTGTCAACTCTCAGGTATACGGCTCGGGATGCCTCTACACGGGGCGTTTCACTTTCACCGAGACGCGGCTTGTCGACGCGGACGGCTCGGGGGGACAACATTCCGCTGATCCTCGCCTTCGAAGGGTAGGATGGGGCCTCGTCTTGATGGGCAGGGGCCAACGGGCCCAAGGGACTCTATATAGACTTACCCAGGGGCCCAGACAGTTAATCGATGGAAGCTCACTGCAGCTATCTACGCGTTGGCCCTAGATGGGCCCATCGTCGTCGTCACCGATAGCGACTACATCACGAAAGGGGTCCGACGGGGTGAGAGCTGGAAACATAGAACCAACTCGGATGTGTGGTCCCTCTTGTGGCAGGTGTACCAAACAAAGGACCAGCCACACCGTCTTTAAGAAGACGCAGGCCCATGCCACGCCGTCGGACATCGCCGACGGGGCCGTCAGGGCAGACTTCTACATTGCCAATGCCGCCGCCGACGCCGTTGCGCGCAGGGCGGCAAGGTTCTTTGCTTTTACGGAGGAGGAGGTCAGGGAGGTCAAGGCCAGGGATGAGGAGATGCAGCTGATCAGATGCCGTCTTGCATGCGTCCAACATCTTAACTGGACATATGGCCCGAACCTGAAGCAGCAGAAAATACCCAAAAGTGCACGAACACGTCGTCTCCGAGAGTCTGAAATGAGCCCGCATAACATCGTGAGGGGTCCAGTAGACGAGTCAGTTAGATGCACGCGTTGCGCTGCTTTCTCTGCCAAGTCGTCTCCAGGGTGGGCTTCACAAGTTCGCCTGCCCAGGAAGTATATTTTTGATGTCCACCCCTCCCACCACCCCAATATGTGCATGGTCAAAGGGGTGACGTTTTGTGCCAAGTGTGGAGGGTGGGCCGCCTCGAAGGTTTCGAAGCGAGCCAGTCCATGTGAGAAGCCGACGAGCACGGGGATCAAAGCGTTTCGTAGGTTGTTGCAGGGACTGAAACCCAAAGGGTTAATTGAATGGCCGACGGGACAACTTGCTCATCTAAGAACGCAGGTTGCCACCCGATGCGGCCTCCCACGAGATATTATAGTCTCGTGAGGCTTTCAGGAAGGGCCCTGGCGTGCAGGGACCCACCTTCTAGTGCAGGTCAATAGGTCAATAGAGCAGGAGGAGGAGGAGGAGGAGGAGGAGGAGGAGGAGGAGGAGGAGGAAGAGCAGGAGGAGGAGGAGGAGGAGGAGGAGAAGGAGGAGGAGGAGAAAGGAGGAGCAGGAGGAGGAGGAGGAGGAGGAGGAGGAGGAGCAGCGAGATGAGGATACGGAAGAGGAGGATGAGGAGGATGAGGAGGAGGAGGAGGAGGAAAAGGAGGAGAGAAAAGCAGGTATGGGAGGACAAAGTGAGGAGGTGTAGGAGGAGAAGGAGGAGGCGAATCTACGTTCTCCCATATCCCAGAGCCTCACGGAACCTTTCATTTTTCGTTCAAACACCCCCATTCCTCATAATTGCCTTCTCTTCCTTCCTCATCGTATCTGTTCGGGTGCACTACCACGCGAATCCCTCACCGCGCTTGGGCGGGCGCGTGAGAGGGGGGGCGGGTGGCGGGGGGGGGGGCCCGGAGGTTGGGTACTGAGCGCAGAGATTCTTTTACACGGACCATGCTGGGCTCGTTGCGTTGGGGCAGTTCTTTTGTTTTCGCGGGATGCGAGATTAACAAAGCACAAGGGTCTGACAGAACCCATCCGCTGCAAGTGAGGTGGCGATTATACTGGCACTGTTATTTTTAATGTTCTTCCATGTGGCATGGGAAGGGGGACCATCGGTTTTTCATCGCTCACGAATTATTCAAGAGGCTGACGCCATTCCGCCGACCCCCAGACAGGGAACATGCGTGGCTTTCGATTCTGGATGTGGCGTTGCCGCTCCTCGTCGTGATGCCTGCGTGTGCTTCTTGCTGGTGCATCCCAGTCTTTCTCCGCGCTTTTTGCGGGGGTTCTTAGGGGATCATTGGGGGATTGTTTTAAGTCGGGCCTGTCCCCCTACAGGGGGGGGGTCGACGGAAAAAAAATACACCACAAATAATAAAAAAAGAGTCCAGCAATAGTCTGGGGACAATTTTTTGAATTTTCTTTTGGCCTTTCTGGGGTATGTTTGGGGTATGTTTTATTATTTGTCGTCGAAAATCCCCCTGTGGGGGGACACGCCCGACATAAGGATTGTTGGGGGCCTCCGGGGCGGCCTCTTGGGAGTCTTCTCGTTGCTCCCGGATCTGTTCTGGGGGGCCTCTCCGGGGGCCTTTGCGGGGCCTCTCGCGGGGGCATGCCGGTGGTCCTGGGGGCCCTCTTGCCGTGGGAGAGCTCCCTGGGCCCCGGCGAGTTTCCCCTCTTGGGCTTCCCTCGCCCCTCCATCCCCCTCCTCCACTCCCCCCCCCCACCCCCCAATCCCCCTCCACCTCCTCCTCCTCCTCCTCCTCCTGCCCCTCCTCCTTCTCCTCCTCCTCCCCCTCCTCCTCCTCCTCCTCCTCCTCGTCCTCCTCCTCCTTCTCCTTGCCCTTTTGCAAGCCTTGTTGGTCGTCTTAGGGGGCCCCTTTGGTCGTCTCGGGGCCTCTTGGGCCATCTCAGGACCAGGGCGGCCTTCTCGGGCCGTCCTGGGCATTCAGGACTCCGAGATGGGGGGAACGCGAACATCCTTCGAAAAGCTACAGTCGAGGCTGATTAGTAGGTCGCCCCTGCCAAATCAAGGGTACCCTTGTGTCCTGTGTATTGCGACCCATGCCTTCGACATTCCTATGGCAACGTGGCCCTCGGAAGGGTCTTGCGTCTTGTGCCCACTCGCGTGTCTCTCCAAAGAACCTCGACTGTATGTAGCATCATCGTTTGTGTGCCTCTTGAGACCGTATCTTGGTCCTCTTGGGGCTGTCATTGGGAGTCTTCGGGGCCTCTCGGGCCGTCTCGAGGTGATCTTGGATGTTCTGGAGGCCTCTTCGGCGCGTTAGAACCCTCCGTGGGCCACCTCAGAGGGCATCTAGGGTATCTTTGGAGACCGCGGAGGGTGGAGGTGGAGGCTCCGAGGGCTGGGAGGTGCGCCAGTGAGCTTGTCTTAGGTCGGGCATGTCCGTCTGCAGTAGGAATATGCAAAAATAGTCAAAACTTAGTCTGGGGACAATGTTCCTACTTTTTTTGAGTATGCTTGATGATTTGTTGGCTGTTTCGCATTTTTCTTCCAACATCCGTCTGTAGGAAGACATGCCCGGCCTAAAGCTTGTCGCCCCCCCCTCCACCCGGATTTTGGACCCGAGGGGACAGGCAAAGGGGGAGGGGTGCAGCCAAATGCTTCACACGCCCTTTCCCCCTTGGCAAGCGGGGTCTGCGGATACCACATGTCGTTCCTCCCTCATCTTCCCTCCTCCTCCTCCCTCATCCCTTCTCCTCCCTTCTCCTCCTCCTTCTCTCTCCACCCTCCTCCCTCCCTCTCTCCCTCCCTCCTCGCTTTTCCCTCCTCCTTCAGGGGTGGATGGTTCCAGCGTGCCTGTTGCCGCCGAGGTTCCCGAACGAGACGCTGGGCAGGGGGCGCCTGCTCCCGCTCTGCCGGTGGCTGGCGATAGACCTGCCGAAGGACCCCCAGGAGCATGCCCCCGCGCTCCTGTTGTCTGGATTCCTCCTCCCCCTCCCTCTCCCCCTCCCCCTCCCCCTCCCCCTCCTCCTCCTCCTCCTCCTCCTCCTCCTCCCTCTCTCCCCTCCTCCTCCCCCTCCTCCTCCTCCTCCTCCTCCTCCGCCTCCTCCTCCTCCTCCTCCTCCTCCTCCTCCTCCTCCCTCCTCCCTCCTCCCCCTCCCCCTCCTCCCCTCCTCCTCCTCCTCCTCCTCCTCCTCCTCATCCTCCTCCTCTCCCCCCTCCCCCCCCTCCCCCCCTCCTCCTCCTCCTCCTCCTCCTCCTCCTCCTCCTCCTCCTCCTCCTCGCCCTCCTCCTGCTCCTCGCCCTCCTCCTCCTCTGCTTCTTCCTCCTCCTGGCTCCTCCTCCTGCTGCGTTCCCTCCGCCTTCTCCCGGACATGGGAGAAGGCGAGTGGGGAGCCGCGCGCACGCCGTCGGCTGCGGCGCGGCGGCCGCCGCGCACAAGAGAGGACGAGCCGTGGCTGCGGGCACAGATGGCGTCCCGTGGCGCGCGGCCGACAGCGTGGCGCCAAGTCGCAGGCCTAGAGGTTGACACCAACACCAATTTTGGCGGGGTGCCTACAACGAGGGAAGAAGATCCCGATCTCGGGGATGGTGGTAATATTCTGGCTTCCAAGGTGACCGACATATTGCCACCAACACCGAAATCCAGGATCGTCTTCCCCCTGTGGAGGCGACCCCCTGTTTTGGTGTTGGTGCCCATTTCCAGGCCTCCAGAGAGCGCGTCCCGCGGCGCGCGGCCGACAGCGTGGCGCCCAGCGCCGCCAGCGGCAGTTCGGCGGTGGGCGCGCGAGAGATGGCCATGGCAGTGGCGGCGGGCTCGCGGGCGGTTCGGCGCCGCGCGAAGCGTGCAGGGAAGCCCGGCGCCGTCCGCCGTGGCGCGCCAGGTGGCGCTCGCGAGAAGGGCGAGGTCGGGGGGCGAGCGGTGCGAAGGCTCGCGGCCAGGGCTGCAGCACGGCCAAGATGGGTGGTCGACCCCGTCAGGGCGGCGTCTTCGGGGCGCCCGTCTGAGGGGGGAACGCCTGCGGCGGTTGGCAGCAGGGGCGCGGTGGTCTACGGATGCCTCGACTGAGTAGGAGGACAAACAATCACGTAAACAGACACTATGAGAGGTTCACGCGGACTTCTCGGATCGGCGCAATCTCCGCGCCTCCGCTCGTTCCGAATCGTGCTCTTGCTGCAGCGCTGGCCTCATTTCCGCGCCTCCGCTCGTTCCGAATCGTGCTCCCTCTGCAGCGCTGGCGTTATTATTTCCAGTGCCATGCCACGGCATGGTTTTCGGTCCCTCCAAATGAGCACCAACATCTAAAATATCTCCCCGATACAAAAACATCAGAAACGATTCCACATTCGGTGCCGATTCGTTTATTTTTGGGCCGCAGAAGCCCCCCCCCACTTTGGGGCGTCGCCACGCCATGCTATGTCATGCTACGCGTTGATCTTCGAAACCATGCTATGCCATCTAATGCTACACCACGCAACGACATCCGACTGTGCGAATAGAGAGGAGATCTACGCCAGAGATGTGAGGGAGGGGTAGGACGTCAGGTATGACGCGAGCGCACCTAGCTTGCCTTCTCCACCTCCTCCCTCCCCCCTCCTCGCCTCTGCTCTTCGCATGTCCCTGCTTCGCCGCGGCCCTCACGCGTTTCGTGGCCCACCGAAGGCCCCAGTGGCAGGGTTCGTATGGCGCCGCCGCGCGCACCAATTTCGGCACACCCCTCACACTTTTCGTGGCCCCGATAGGGAGCCCCACCGAAGGTCCTTGTGGCAGGGTTCGCATGGCGCCACCGGAACCACACCGACGGCCACAGTGGCAGGGTTTGCACGGCGCCACCGCGCCCATTTCGGCACACCCTTCAGCCCCATCGGGAGCTTTACCGAATGCCCCGTTGGCAGGGCTCGGATGGCCCCACCGCGCCCATTTCGGTACACACCGTCCACCGAAGGCCCCACTGGCAGGGTTCGCATGGCGCCACCGCACCCATGTCGGCACACCAATCCTACGTTTCGTGGCCCGACAGAGAGCTCCACCGAAGGCGCCCCAGTGGCAGGATTCGCATGGTGCCGCCGTATGTAGTTCGACATACCCTCACGCGGTTCGTAGCCCCCAAGGGAACTGCACCAAAGGCCCCAGTGGCAGGGCTCACATGGCGCCACCGCACCCATTTTGGCACACCCCTGCACACGTTTCGTGGCCCCACAGGGAGCTCCGCCGAAGGCCCCAGCTGCAGGATTCGCATGGCGCCACCGCACCCATTTCGGCACACCACTCATTCGTTTTGTGGCCACATTAGGGGGTTCCACCGAAGGCCCCACTGGCAGAGTTCGCACCGAGGGCCCCAGTGGCAGGGTTTGCATGGCGCCACCGCGCCCCCATTTCGGCACACCCTTCACACGTTTCGCGGCCCCACAGGGAGCTCCACCGAAGGCCCCAGCGGCACGGTTCGCATGGCGCCACCGCGTTGATTTCGGCACACCCCTCACACGTTTCGCGGCCCCTTTATGGGAGCTCCACCGAAGGCTCCACTGGCAGGGCTCGCATGGCGCCACCGCGCTCATTTCGGCACACCCCTCACGCATCGTGGCCCCAAACGGAGTACCACCGAGGGCCCAAATGGCAGGGTTCGCATGGTGCCACCGCACCTATTTCGGCACACCCGTCGCACGTTTCGTAGCCTCGATAGGGAGCCCCACCGAAGGCCCTGATGACAGGGTTCGCATGGCGCCACCGAGTGCACTCCGGCACACCCCTCACACGCTTCGTGGCCCCATAGGGAGCTCCACCGTAGAACCCGTGGCAGGGTTCGCATGGCGACACCGCAGCCACCTCAGCACACCACTCAAACGCATCGTGGCCCTACAGGGAGCCCCACCGAAGGCCCCGCTGGCAGGGTTCGCATGGCGCCACCGCGCCCCCATTCCAGCACACCCCTCACACGCATCGTGGCCCCACAGGGAGCTCCACCGAAAGCCCAGCGGCAGGGTTCGCATGGCGCCACCGCGCCCATTTCGGCACACGCCTCACACGTTTCGTTGCGGCGCAGGATCGAGGTCGGTTCGGGGAGGGCGCCCTGATGTTTTTCGTGCTCGTTGGGTGTTCTAGGGCATCCCGGGGAGGGCGCCCTTGGATGTTTTGGGCGCTTTGGGCAGCGGAGGCCGTCGCGTCCTGGAGGGATGTTCTTCTGTCACAGGTCCGATTGTATCATTGGGGACCAAGGAACTCTGACCCCGCCGCATTGTGAAACAAAATCACGAGTGGAGGTTTTTCGCGATGGTCGGCCTCTGGGGACCCTTACCGGGCCCCAGGACCGTCAGACAGTGACCAAGGATGGAGACCGGTCCTGGGAGAGGGTCCAGAACTCTATAGGGTCGGGCGACGAGCTGTGTATGCGCCCTCCTGGCCAAGCCAGGAGGGCGTGGCGTATACACCGCTGCGGGGTTGAGGATGGGCCTGGCCAGGGAGCAGTGGATATGTATAGATTTCGTCGCCCTATGGGGGTCGACGTTGTGAAGAAATCACGACGTCGGGGCTCTGGGAATGACATGCACATAGAGTTCGGCAGGCCGCGCGGACTTCCCGGATCGGCGCTGGACCTCGCTCCCTGGCGCGCAAAAAGCGCGCCCCTCCGGCGCCGCCAGGGAGTTCCCGCGCCATTCCCAGGAAGCCGCGCGGACCGCCGAGTTTTTGTGTTCGTGTTCTTCTTTGCACCCCAGCTGCTGTGCGCCTGCGGATCTCAGAGCCCCGAATCATCAGGGGTAACTCGGGTCAGGGATAACTCGGGTTCGTTTTTCGGGAATCCAAACCCGAGTTACCCCGGACCCGAGTTACCCCGGATAACTCGGGCGCCCAAGGATCAGAGATGCGTCCCCTAGATTGGGCGGGGAACGGTGTGGGGCGGGGGGACAAGTCGCCAGTGCAAGACTATCTTGACCGCCACCGCGGAGAACAACTCGCCAGGGCAATCTAAAATTGACACTCGCAGCGGGGAGCAAGTCACCTACGCTGTATGATATTGCTCCCCTATCTTGTCTTCCCCTGCTGCTTCCCCCTGCACATCCAATCGTTCTGTCCCCAGGGTGCACACAAGTATCAGCCACTCTTGTGGCGGAGCCCCACAAGCTGCCTTTGCTCATTACCCCCAGTTTGTTTTTCCCTTGTCCCCACCAGCAGTGCTGATTCAAATTTGGTTTGGACCCGTATCCTGCGTGCCCCGCGAAGTCGGACTACACGCGCATTGTTTCACCCAGCTTGATATGTGTGGTCCCATGTTAATGGGTTCCTACTTCTGACCGGCTTCTTCGTGATCCTGCGTTCCGTTCGGTGTGTTGCCTCCCCTGTGTGTCCTTTGCCTGCCTTCTGCTGACGACGGGTATCCTGGGCCCCCTGGGCTCCCTTCTGGATATCTGCGTGCAGCGCGCACACACAGTCAACGCGCCTAGTAAGGACGTGCGCCTTCATCTAGGGTACCTTTGGGTCCTTGCCTCTGCGGCCCGTCCTTTGCCGTTCTCACCGGTCGCCCGCCGCACAAAAAGTCAGAACCTCGGTCTCCAAGGACCTTGCGTCCTTACCACCTGACCCTAATACACGCTTTGACTGTACATTGGCGACTGCTGCCCCAGGCCGCGCTTCACAGCACAAGTGCGGCCCGACGGTGTGGTGGTCCCGCTTGGCCCGGTGACTCCTTGGCTCGCCTTCTCCTGTGTGTCCTCTGCCTGCCTTCTGCTGACGATGGGTCTCCTGGGCCCCCTGGGCCCCCCTCTGGATCTCTGCGTGCAGCGCGCACACACGCTGGCGACTGCTGCCCCAGGCCGCGCTTCACAGCGCGAGGGCGGCCCGACGGCGTGGTGGTCCCGCTTGGCCCGGTGACTCTCCTCTTCCTCCTCCTCCTCCTCCTCCTCCTCCTCATCCCTCCTCCTCCTCCTCCTCCTCTTCCTCCTCTTCCTCCTCCTCCTCCTCCTCCTCCCTCTTCCTCCTCCTCCTCCTCCTCCTCTTCCTCCTTGGCTCGCGACGTGGCTGGTGCCGGGCGGGGCGCGCGCCTGCCGCGCCCCGCTCGCGGAGCGCCGGCGTGGCCTTCCCGAGGCCCTCGCGGCCTTCGCGTGCGCCCTTTCGATGCGGGTCGGCAACGCGCAGAGGGGGGTAGGGGGAGGGGGGGAGGCTTCTTAGAAGCACCCCTGCTTCTTAGAAGGCGCGGGCCTTCTCTATAGACGTAAGGCCGAGGCCTTCTAAGAAGCAGGGTGCTTCTAAGAAGCCTTCCCCCCTCCCCCTGCCCCCTTTTGCGCGCCGCCAAACGGGCTGGCCGTGCAGTGCCGTTTTTTAATACATGCTCCGCGTGCGGGTCATGTATGAAAAATGCAGGGACTTCATATCAAAAACAACGAGGAGTTCGTGCATAGATTTATCCATACAATTAATCATGTATCACAAATCCTATATTTTAACAATCCTATGTAGTAAAAGCTGCCCTGTATTGCTGGTGGGCGGCAGTGGGCGGGGAGCTGGCGACGAGCAGTGGCGTGGCGGCGGCGCTCACGGCCAAGGAAGGGCGTGGGCGTTGCAGCAGGTCTGCAGGAGAACTCCTCAGGCGAAACGGGGGCCGATTCCATAGGCGGGGCGCGCTTCGGCATTCACGGGCCGCGCTGACATGGGGATGTATTGGGGGGAAGGATAAGGAGGACGAGGCTGAGGAGGAAGAGTAACGCGGACATCATGAGGGCGCTGAGGAAAGGTTTCCCCAGTGACGCGGATCCCAAACACCCAACGGATACCATTCTCTGGTTGATCCGCGTTCATCCTACCCGTTCAACTCGTGCTTAAGCCCGTCATGGGTGCGCCAGTGCGTGCAAGCATGATGTAGTCAAGACAAGCCCGTGCCTGAACCCAAGCGCGCGCAAAGCGCGTCGTCGTTGTTGCTGTTGTTGTTGCTGTTGTTATTGTTGTTGTTGTTGTTGTTTCCCCCTTTTTCGACCGCGCGCCGTCGGGAACAACCGCTTGAGGTGTCGGTGGGGATCGCTCGAAGTAAGATGTGTCGCCCTGTGTTTGTTTATGCTGTTTGTTACCTGCATCCATGTTTGCACACAAACATGTGTCTCTTGGCATCGTTCGGACGTGTGCATTTTTCCTTCGGCGAGGACCATCGAGGAGCATCCTTCATCATTTGGCGAAAAAGCCACGCACGAAACCGAAACAAACACAGGGAATGGACGTCCGAGCGATGGCGAGGTCTATACGCAGCATATCTCCGTACGTACACAGATGCCGCCGTCCGCCACAAGAGCTCCGCAGTTGAGCGGCGCTCGTGGCCCACACGGGGCCACACCATGCCCGTTGGGCTCCCGAGAGGGCTCGCACAACAGGCGCGCCAGCGCGGGCGTGTGTTTGCCGCACGGCTTCGGGAGCCTCGAGAAAGGGGCCTCGTTCCTTATGTGGAGTTCCTTAGGTCAATGCCCCCACGGTGTAGATGTGCTCGACGAGGGGATCAGCACGGAGGGCGAAGAAGTGGTGGCTCAGCAGGCTGCACCTGCCGCCGGCCTTCGCACGCTCAGCAACAAGGAGAAGAGGGAGCTTAAAAAGCAGCGGAAGCTGCTCGACGCGGAGCGCAGCCTTCGCAGGCCTGGCTGGGAGAAGGACCCAGACACGGTGCCGCTGGAGGTGTCCAACTCAGAGCACCAGCGCGCGGGCCTCGAGTGGATCTGGGAGCAACTCGTAGCCAGGGCGAAGGATGAGAGAGCCCGCTTCCCAGAGCAGTGGGACTGAGGGCGCCTTTTCGGGCCAGGCTGCGTTGTAGAGCGGCTTGGCCCCCTTTTCTCCTCTCAGGGTCGCGCTCACAGGTGTTTCTCTCGTGTGCTGCGCGTCCTTGGCTCGGACAGCTATCCCCCTTGATGAGCTGCGGCGGTAGCGCTGTGGTTCATGGATGTGTCGACAAAAAATGCTCCCACTGTATTTTTTTCCACTGGCCACTTGTAGAGGGCCCGCGGGGGAGTGGGCGACTGGCCGCCCGCGCCCCGGGTACCGTGCGCATGTCGCTTGGAAGCGGCGCCCCAGCGCGCGTGCGGTGCACGGCGCGCTCGCCGAAGTGTGCGGTCGGGAGCCTTGAGACGGGGGTCAATGCAAACGGGGGTCAGCCAGGGCACCACATCCTGCAGGATCCTGCGAAGACCCCCTCTGGCTGGCCTGGGTTAGCGCGCCGCTCGTGGCCGCGAGGCGGCCGCACCTATGGGCTGACCTGGGTTTGCGCGGACCTGCGTTGTATTTTTTGTCCTGCATTGCAGTTGTTTGGTGTCCTGCTGACCCGGGTCTGGATTGACCCGGGTCAGAAGATCCCCGACGGCTGCAGCGCTACAAAGTGGACGCGGCCATGTACAGATTCCTTTTTCCATATGTTTGCTTCCCGGGACCTTGCGACCCCCCCCGTCCCCCTGCACGTGACCACCCGGATCGTTGGCCCAGGGCCCTCTGCAGAAGGCCCCCCAGGCTTCTGGGGCTGCTGGAAGCCCTTGCTGGGCCCAGGCAGCGGGCCCAAATTGGTAAGGAGGGCTGCCGAATGAGCCCCCGAGGGCTCCAAGAGGCCCCAAACGCACGCACACACACACACACACACACACACACACACACACACGCACACGCACACGCACACGCACACGCACACGCACACGCACACGCACACGCACACGCACACGCACACGCACACGCACACGCACACGCACACGCACACGCACACGCACACGCACACGCACACGCACACGCACACGCACACGCACACGCACACGCACACGCACACGCACACGCACACGCACACGCACACGCACACGCACACACGCACACGCACACGCACACACGCACACACGCACACGCACACGCACACGCACACACGCACACGCACACGCACACGCACACGCACACGCACACGCACACGCACACACACGCACACGCACACGCACGCACACGCACGCACACGCACACGCACACGCACACGCACACGCACACGCACACGCACACACGCACACGCACAACGCACACGCACACGCAACACGCACACGCACACGCACACGCACACGCACACGCACACGCACACGCACACGCACACGCACTCACGCACACGCACACGCACACGCTCGAACACACGCACGCACACGCACGCACGCACACGCACACGCACACGCGCACACGCGCACACGCGCACACGCACACGCACACGCACACGCACACGCACACGCACACACGCACACACGCGCACACGCGCACACGCGCACACGCCCACACGCACACACGCCCACACGCACACACGCACACACGCGCACACGCGCACACGCGCACACGCGCACACGCGCACACGCGCACACGCGCACACGCACGCGCACACGCGCACACGCGCACACGCGCACACGCGCACACGCGCACACGCGCACACGCGCACACGCGCACACGCGCACACGCGCTCACGCGCACACGCGCTCACGCGCACACGCGCACACGCGCTCACGCGCACACGCGCACACGCGCACACGCGCACACGCGCACACGCGCACACGCGCACACGCGCACACGCGCACACGCGCACCGCGCGCACCGCGCGCACCGCGCGCACCACGCGCACCACGCGCACCACGCGCACCACGCGCACCACGCGCACCACGCGCACCACGCGCACCACGCGCACCACGCGCACCACGCGCACCACGCGCACCACGCGCACCACGCGCACCACGCGCACCACACGCACCACACGCACCACACGCACCACACGCACCACACGCACAACACGCGCACCACGCGCACCACGCGCACCACGCGCACCACGCGCACCACGCGCACCACGCGCACCACGCGCACCACGCGCACCACGCGCACCACGCGCACCACGCGCACCACGCGCACCACGCGCACCACACGCACCACACGCACCACACGCACCACACGCACAACACGCACAACACGCACAACACGCACAACACGCACACACGCACACACGCACACACGCACACACGCACACACGCACACACGCACACACGCACACACGCACACACGCACACACGCAGCACACGCCGCACAGCAGCACCACGCAGCTCACGCAGCACACGCAGCACACGCATCACACGCAGCACACGCAGCACACGCAGCACACGCAGCACACGCAGCACGCGCAGCACACGCAGCACGCGCAGCACACGCAGCACGCGCAGCACACGCCGCACACGCCGCACACGCCGCACACGCCGCACACGCCGCACACGCCGCGGACGCCGCGGACGCCGCACACGCCGTACACGCCGCACATGCCGCGCACGCCGCGCACGCCGCACACGCCGCACGCGCCGCACGCGCCGCACGCGCCGCCCACGCCGCACGCGCCGCGCACGCCGCGCACGCCGGGCACAGCGCACACGCCGAAGGAAACGCAACGCCGCACGCGCCTGCCGCGCCGCACCACGCCGCACTCGCCGCACACGACGCAACACGCCGACACGCCGGCGCGCCGCAGGCGCTCACGCCGCACGCGCCGCAGCCGCCGCACACGGCGAAAAGCCGCACGCGCCGCACGCGCCGCACGCGCCGCACACGCCGCACACGCCGCACACGCTGCACACGCCGCACACGCCGCACACGCCGCACACGCCGCACACGCCGCACACGCCGCACACGCCGCACACGCCGCACACGCCGCACACGCCGCACACGCCGCTCACGCCGCACACGCCGCACACGCCGCACACGCCGCACACGCCGCACACGCCGCACACGCCGCACACGCCGCACACGCCGCACACGCCGCACACGCCGCACACGCCGCACACGCCGCACACGCCGCACACGCCGCACACGCCGCACACGCCGCACACGCCGCGCACGCCGCGCACGCCGCGCACGCCGCGCACGCCGCGCACGCCGCGCACGCCGCGCACGCCGCGCACGCCGCGCACGCCGCGCACGCCGCGCACGCCGCACACGCCGCACACGCGCACGCGCACGCGCACGCGCACGCGCACGCGCACG